ATATATGTGTCACATAAGTACCTAGAAGTCTACAGAATAATGATTTATAAAGGAATCACATAAATCAACACCTGTAGTCACTCAAAATTTAAAACATGAAATGGAGAGTCTTTAAAAAGTGAATTTGACAGGGTCACAGATAAATCTTTTCCCCAGGCTTTATTGTTATTTATATGTTATTGCACATATCAAAACTCTTACCAATTTTTCCACACATATCCTCACCTAACATTTTGGAGTCATTAGGAGATAATTGTGATATCATGTGCATCTTTGACAAACCCCTTTTATATTTTTATGTATCATATCATTTATATTTTCCCAAAATAAATACTTGCAATAGCAACTACTTCTGTAACCCAATCTATAAAAATAATTTTTATCTATGTGAATACATATAGAAACAATTTTTTTTTCAGAAGATAAAAAGATCACAGTACAGTCTTAATTGTTTTTGACTTTTTCTCTAATCATCTTTTTAACCATAACTCAAACAATTTAAAATAGAAATCAGGGCCTCCCAGGTGGTGCAGCGGTAGAGCGCTGGGTTGCAAAGCTGCCCGCGGCCTCTGCGGTGCCAGTTCAATCCCCGGCTGCTCCCCGGCCACTGGAGGAGGGTCCCACATGGCGCGCAGACCTCTCCTGCCGCCCGCTGCTCCCCTCAGCAGTGTACTTCGGTCCTTCTGCCTGCTCTGCTCCCTGCTCTGGCTCTGGTGAATTCTCTCACCCTCCCGCGCTTCTGACTGTACCCAGTGCATGTATAAACAAAACAAACAAACAAATAAATAAATAAATAAAACATGCCTCTATTTAAAAAATAAATAAATAAAATAAAATAGAAATCACATGTTGAACTTCAAATGGTTATTCTGTTTGTTTGTCTTGTTTCCATCCCAAAATGGGTGATTTTCCCAAATATTTCTGGAAGATATTTCCTGAGGAGCCTGAATTATACTGATGTTTAATTTTGGGATGTAACAAATTCATTAATACTGCAGTGAGTACCAGCACACTAATGTTTTTGATGACTTAGCATAAATTGCCATCCTGGGCAAGGAAGCAAGTGTGGAAGGCAAAGGAATAGGAACCACTTTGGTTGTGGACAAAGAAAATTTTGAACAGCAGTAAAAATTTCCAAAGTTGGGTTGTGTCTCTCTAATGCTTCCAATTAAAATGCAGACATCAGTGACCTTTCAGGAGAGGGATAATGAAGTGCAGACTTTAAATAAAAGACACAAATAAAAATCCTTGCCACTTATAACCTACTCTAACTCATTTTCTTAAAATGACTATCATTTTACATATTCTTCAGAATACAAGTTTTGCCATATTCTTATTCATCTATTCCCTCACGTACACTTACCATCACCTGTCAATCAGTGTAATAAAGTGGCATCAAAGAAATATATTACCACAGGGGATCAGTGATTTTCCTATGTAATCCTGTGAGCGAAAAATAAAGTCAGCTCCTTTTTGGAGTCAGTTATGCTAAATAAACCATAAGCATTGTGAATGACAATAAGTCATTCTGCTAAACTGTTGGCTCTCTGTTCACCTTTATGATCTACACTTGTTATCATTAGGAGGTCTAGCCCAGGTTGCCTTCAGAATATGTAGCTCACTGGTTAAGCAAATTGTACTATTATAACTTAAGTATACAATGAAAATCTATGCAGACATTTTAATGAGATAGATATTTATTGGCATAGGAAGATACTTATATATAATGTCTTAAGTTGGGTTCCCCAAAAACAATCTGGAAAGGAGGCATATATGCTGAGTATTTACTAGGGAGTAAAGAAATGAGAAAGGTAGGATTAGGTAGAGGGAAAATATCACCAACAATATAATTATAATTAAGCCTTAAATGATTTAACATGACATGTTAACCTAGGCTGGTCCCTCAGTATTCTAGCAAAATGTGACAAAGTGGGAAGAGATGATTGATCCCTGCATTATCTACTCATGTGTAGGGTAACTGAACAATTGTCAAAATTTTCTGCCCTCCCGCCATTAGCATTAATGATAGATCCCTGAATCCTACATTCATGCCGGATAGTGGGCACCTGGAGTAGTGTGTGAGCCTGTGTAGGGTAAGGAAAAATGTCAGGCTTTTCTGCCCTCCCGCCATCAGGATAGATGATGGATCCTTGTCCTGAATGCATGCCTGAGGGCGGGCACCTGGAATAGGGTGTGGGCATAGGTAGATGGGATTCACCTGGGCTAAGACTGGACTTTTAAGGGCAGCGTCACAGGGACGCCAGCAGAAGCCAAGAAGCCGAGAACGAACTGATGCCGAGAGAGAAGCAGAGAAGGCCGGAGAGCCCAGATAGAGTGAAGACTTGCTGGGGGCTGGGAGGCCTGCCAGTCTCCCGGCCCCCCAGCACCCCTGCCAGCTGTGTACCTGCTAAATTCCAATAGAAAACCTGGCTCAGTGTCCAGTCCTGCCCTTACAGCATGCATAGGTGGGCACACTTGGGCCGACATACTGGGCTTATAAGGGTGGCATCACAGGGACGCCAGCGGAATGAGAGCAGAACCAGCAGAGAAACAAAGACCATGAGAGAATGCCAGACAGCCCGGAAAAAGTGAAGACTCACTGGGGGCTGGGAAGCCTGGCAGTCTCCCGGCCCCCTGGCTCCCTGCCTGCTGTGTACCTGGCTCCCGCACTACAATAAAAGCCCAAGAAAGCCAACAAGGGCTCCAGGACTGTCTAGCCAGCTACCTGGATCATAGAGAACCTGCTTTGTGCCTTGCTGGTGCTACACCATGGTCTACCTTGGAAGGAAACGTAACCTTGGATGAGAGTATATCGTATAACTAATGCAATTTCCAGTTCAGAGTAGTGTTAAAACTGTCAGCAGATGATTTCCCTAATTTGAGCAAATTCTTCAACCCTGAAGTGCTCTCTGGACAGAGAACCACAGTATCCACTACAGCCTCCCTGCCACCACTGCATTGTTCAGATTTTTTCTTGTGGTAAGTTCACCTGCTTTGCAATCACTTCCAAAGGGATCCCGCTGCAATCTTCATTTGCCCTACATGAAGGGTAACAGGTCAACCAGTCTTAGGAGGCCCAACTTGCATGCTTTAGAGAGATTGCAGAGACTCTAAGCCACAGAGGCACAGCCAGAGAATGCCACTGCTTGGCGCCCATGCTAGAGGGATCAGGAGATTGAGGTTGGTGGAGGGGAAAGTGAAGAAGAGTAGAGACTGGAAGGAAGGAGTTAGTAAGGTGGTAAGGTCAGGGTACGAAGTATATCACAGGCAGGGAAAAGAGTAAGGGGTTGTCTGGGGGTTGAGAACTGCTGAAGAAGGGGTGGAGAAAAGCGTGATTGGTAAAGCAAAGACTCTGTAAAAAGCTCTGGATTATAAATAGTTATTTTGGTGTATTTGAAAACATTTTATTTTTCTCCATCACTCACATTGTGCTTTAGCTGGATACAACAGTTTAAGTGTATTCACTCAGCACATTTAAGATTTCCTTTTATCCTTCATGTTCTAAGTCTCATTACAATGTTCTTAGTTGGGGATTTATTTTTATTTATAATTTTATTACCAAGAGTGAACTTTCAATCTCAGGACTTATGCATTTCTTTTACTCTGGAGACTTCTCAGGTATTACTTTTATGCTAAGCACCTTATTTTCATTCTCTTTTTGGTCCTCATGTTATATGCATGTAACCACTCTTTGTATATTTAAACTCTTTGTCTCTCTGTGTTGAATTTGGGGTGAATTCCTCAGTTTGATTTTCCCAGTGACCAGTACTTCCTTTACTAAGTCATCAGAGTTCAGTCCATCTAGTATTTTTAAAATTCCAAGGACTAACTTTCCATTTGCAAGAGATCTATCTGGTTATTTTGAAAATTCATCTGTTCTTATTTCATTTTTTTTCCTGCTTTTCTTCCATAATGGTGAGCTCTTTTTATTAATGTTATTTTCTAATTTATCTCTTTGATCTTCTTGCTTAAACCAATTTATTACATTGTTCATTAAAATGAATTTCTTTATGGAGTGAATTCATGTTCTCATTTCATAATTTATTGACAATATTTTTTTTGGATCAGATTTCATGGATCTTGGGGTTTTGATTTGCTAGATTATTGTGAATTGAAATGCTTTTGTTATTTATCCTTTGATCTGCTTTTTTCTTCACTCCCTGTGTCTATTCCTCTATATCTATAGGTTTTGTGGTTGTCTCTTTACTTGCTCCCCTGAAATTCTATCTCAGAAACAAGTGCTATGAAGGCAGTTCAGGGATTTTGACCCTGGCTGTTTACATGCAATTGAGGGGGAATCAGGGAACCCAAGCTCTTAAGAGATGCATTCTCCATAAGGGATCCAATTACCTGCATGCACAAAGGACTATTATAGTGAATTTTTTTTTTAAATAGAATTAGTGTATATAGGGAGAATTTCAAATAATGGTTTCCCAATAAAACTAAAAAATTGCCCATCTCCTTATGGGCATATGCCCAGCCAAATAGGTTCAGCCCAAAGTAGGGCTGCTGAGACCTGAAAACTTGCCACAAGTTTAAGGCACCTTCTGGCAAGGAACCACAAGAAAGGGGTTAAGCAGAGCCCAGATGCTGGGATACAATCTACATAAAACACATAATCCAACATGAATTCAACATAACAACTGCCATTGTCTCTGTGAAGGACCAGGAGCGGCTTCCCCATGTGTCTCTCATGTCCGTGTCTTTTTTCGAAGTATCTCTTCACATATGTCCCTATATGCCTCTCTTCCACCTGTCTCTACCCACCCCCATTCTGCCTCCCTTTATATAGCTATCTCGCTCCTTTCCAGCTGCCTCCACCCCACTCAAGAAGTCCTGTTTTTGGCATGCTAGGACTTATACTTTATTCTGTTCATATAAGTGATAGCAGTGAAAATGGTCTCCATTCAATCTCCTTCCTCTTTCATGGAGATGCGTCTATAGTATGGTGACATCAGAGACATCTAAGTTCCAGTTTCCAGGCCAACATATGACTTGTTTCTTCTGGATGCAAAGCTGGCTCTGTGTTCCCTCATCTCCCTAGGTACATCTCTCCTAACTCATTGCTCAGGCAGCCTAATTCAGGTCCCTTGTCTCAAGCGGAATAGACTCCTGGTCATACTGCCATTACCACCTCAATCTGGACTGGGACACCAGCAGGTCCGTTCCTTCAACCCAACTCACTCTTTGATATTCTGATGCTTTTTCTCATCTATGAAGGTAGTAATTTCCCCCCTCCCCTTGAATTCAGCAGTGTTAGTTCTTCTTTGTAGTTTATTTTTTCCATGTGTTTGAGGGAAAAACAGCAAAGTCAAAGTGTGACCCTCCTGTCCCATCTTATTTTATTGTAAACTCTAGCAGCTGCTGTTAAAAATCTACTTTGTCATGCTTTCACTTTTCTGTGACTTAAAAGCAACCATTAATATCTAGGCCACTAATTGATGGGAATTTTATAATTAGCAAAGTTAGAATGATTTACAGATAATAAAAATAATAGGGCATGAGTTTCCCAATACTCAAACTGTTCTCACTGAATCAAGAGCTCTGTCACTGAAATTGATTTATAAATTCAGATTTGTGTTCTTTCAAGACCTCAAACCCAGAAAAACTTAGTATATTTACTCAAGTTTTTTTTTTTTTTTTTTTAATGAATGACATAGAATTTTAGAGCTTAAAGGCACACGTTTTAGGTCCCTCCACTTCTGAATCTGGAAGAGGAGTCTTAGAGTATTGAAAGGTCTTGTTCAATATTACATGACATATTGCTAGCAAAGCTAGAGCTTGAATAAATGGGTTCTTCTAGCCTGTTTTTCTCCAACAAATTTGTCTGTAGCATATATCAGAAGTGAAAGAACTAGGATGCTTGAGAAATGATTTTTAGTGCAATGCTTAATTATTTATAAAGTGGAGACATTTCGCAAAACAAATCTCATCCAGGTTTCTTAAGGTCACAATTTCAATCTACTGTGTGTTTTTCAAATGCAAATATGTGCATACCAGCACTTTTTGTTCCAGAAAGAAAGCAGAGGTGGTCAGAATGCTTCTTATTCTGTCTCTTACATGGCTATGTCCTATTAGATGTTTAATTGAGATAAATATAACAGAGTAAGAAACAAAATATAATAGAATAAGAGAGGAAAATAGAAGTATTATATATTTCAGGGTCTGTAGTTACAAATATGGATGGTTAAGCACATAAGGAATATATTGTAAGGGTTTTGTGTAGCTCACAAAATTGTGAAGGAAAATCAGGTCTGAAGATAAACTTCCAGAAACAGGACCCTCAACTTTAGAACTTTCCTGCTGACAAAACTACTAAGACTGCAAAAACTGAGCTCTCATGAGAGTTGAACTAGATGCTTATAGGAAGTTGTCTTTATTAAAACTGTCATTGCCACCAGTAGCAATGCCATTTCTGGGATGAAAGAGTTCCTTGACCTAATTCCACCATGGACAGATGGAAGCTTCCCCAGGCCAACAATAAATGCTTGGACACCTACAGCATCTTTCAGAATTCAATTCAATCTGACTCAGTTTTGATACTACCTGGAATAGTATTAGATTCCTTGGGTTAAGGGCTTAGTCTCAGACTACCCTCCACTTTATACCCTAGTTGCAAGCTCAGTTAGGTTTGCTAACTGTTCTTCTGACTGACTCTAAATCAGAGGTTCCCAGGACACTCTGCAGGTTTGATTAATTTGTTAGAATGACTTGCAGAATATAGGGAAGCCAATTCACTCACTAGATCTACAGATATATGACGAAGGTATTAATCAGGAACAGCCATTTTAGATAGAGGCATAGAGCAATGTCTGGAAAAGGGTGTGGAGTTTTCATGCCCTCTCCAGGAGTGTCATTCTCCCCAAATCTCCATATGTTTTCCCACACCCCCATAGTCCCCCAAATCCTGTTCTCTCAGTTTTTACAGTGACTTTGTTACATAAGCATGACTGAATAACTCAATTTCCATCAGTGATTGATTTAACCTTCAGTCCTTTGCCTTCCCCAAAGTTTGAGGCCAGGGGAGACACAGAAAGATTCAACTCTCTTAACTACTTGGCTGATTCCCCTGCCAATCCACTGACATGGGTAGGTGCTTCCCAAAGGTAATTTATTAATGTAACAAGGGACATGTTTATCACGTTCACAACAAGAAATTCTCAAGTTTTTTGGGAGCTGTAAGCAAGGAGCTGTTGAAGACAAAATGTATATGCTGTGAATGTGTAGTATAATGGTCATGCTCTAGCTGTGGAGCTCAAGCTGCAACCCCTACTGAAAGTCAGTCACCTCTCACCACCCCCTGCAGCCAAGTGGATTCTTGAAGAAGCTTCCTTCTTCAAGCTGGAATCTGGTGTGCTTGGATATGTCCAATTGATGTGCTCTGTCTTATGCATTAATAAGCCAGCTATAAATGAGGGGTTAGAGAAGCAAGTTTTATGTCTTCTGTCTCAGACAGGGCTCTGAACATGGAAACTTCCCCAAATATAACAACAATGTTCAGGTACCTGGCAAGTGGAAAGTTTGCCAATATTTTCTACATTTAATAAATTAATATTGGCAAACAAACAAGAAGTCGAAGTTCCCGAGGAGGTACATGTGGGGAAAGACCATTCATTATGTTAATATCCCATTGGCCCTTCTAAAGCATTCTTCATCCTTCTCACCCTGCACTGTCTCCCCAGAGGGTGACCTATAGGGTCAGCATCAACCAGTTTCTTTGCCCCCTGTCTCCAGTTGGATTTGGCTGGTGGGAGTGTGGTCAGGAGATGGGGAGGTAGCATAATGTTGATGTTTGAGCATTTATTCCCCCAGTTCCATCCTGACTGGATAGCAGGTTGTTTCTTTCTTGAAGGCACCCAATGGGTGGCCCTTGCCATTCCCTGTGGTCCTGGCTGCTTCTCCTTTCTCCTGTTGCTTCAGGCCTATTGCTTCTCATTATTAACTAGTTCTTTATCTCTTGTGGCTTCCCTTACTCTTCACCACACCTTATACATAGCTTCAGGTAAATTCTCTTCTATTTGTATACACTGTCATTTCCTCACCTGGATCCTGAGGTACAATTAGGTCCATCCCCACTGTGACAAATGTCCAGATCTTACTTTCTCATCTCACCAATCAAGGTGCTAGAATGCATTTTCTTCTCAAACTAAAATCAAACTGATTAATTGAATTAAAAAAGACATTATTTTAAAATATGATAGTAGAAGGAATAAGTCATTAACATTTCAAAATGTATTTTCTATAGTCATAGAAAATTTCTTTTTGGTCTTAGCCTTGTGTCATATAAAGCTCTTAAAAAAATCCTGAATTTGGCACTCCATGGGGAGGAAAACCAGGTCATATATATCTTTATGAAAGTGTATTGGCTGGTTCTGAGGCAAGCCACAGAACCACAGATAGATTTAAGGAGGAGTCAGAGAGACAACTCAAAGTGCTCTACCCTGATCTCATTTTTCCCACTATTCCAATGAATATATTGCTTCCTTCAAACTCAGAGAGGCTGAAATTAGTGCTCTGAGTAGATTATTTATTTATTTTTTTACACAGAGAAAAAACTGTATGTGACTGAATGCTCAGAAAACCCTAAAATGGGTTGCCTTTAAATAGCTGTTTTCCCCAGTTGTTTCTAATTGATGGATAATTTCCTCTCACCCTCTAGCAGATGTCTTAGCCATTTCTGCCATTTGTAACGTAAAATCCTCTGCACACAAAACCTTTACTAGTGAGACACAGGATACAATCATTGAAATTGTCACTGCACTCTGCTTTAAAAAAAAAAAAATCCAGGAAGGCCTTCCCTGGTGGCGCAGGCAGTTGAGCACAGCATTCTGAAGTTGTCCGCAGCCTCTGCAGCACGGGTTCCATCCTGGCCAGCCAGCGAGGGTCTCACATGGCGAGGCAGACCTCTCCTGTCATGCCTGCTGCTCCCCTCAGCAGTGTATTTCGTTAGTCTGCCTGTTCTGTTCCCTGCTCTATCTCTGGCGAATCCTCTCACCCTCCCATGCATCTGGCCTATACCCTGGTTCTTGTATAAATAAATAAAATCTTAAAAAAAAAATCTAGGAAAGCAAGGTCATATCAAGGGAAAAAATAAAAAGAATCAATTGGCAGTATAGGTTTAACCTCCTGCCCAGAATGAATCCTTGAAATTATATACATGATCTCACTGATCTTCAGAGTGAAGGATGCAGGAACTGCATTATCTTCAGCCTTAAACTTTGTGTTTCTGTGTTCAATGTTTACTAAATGACTTTTATATGTCTAATTCTTCAAGTTATATGGGGAATGAAGACATGTGATTTATGGTGCTTGCCTTTAATGAGCTAATAATATAATAGAAACAATAATGACCATTATTCACATCATGTTAAATGGTTGATTGTGTGGTATTCAGTGGAAATAAGTTCAGAGAAATCAGTATGTTCCTGTGTAGTACTGTAGGGTAAATAGAAGCTATCAGGTTTTTTCTGTCCTCCTGTCATCAGCAACTATGATCGACACCTGTGGTCTTATAAGCGTGCCTGGTGGGCACCTGGAGTGTAGTGTGGGAATGGGAGAGTGGGCACTCCTGAGCCTGGAGACTGAGCATATAAGGGCAGCAGCAGAGGCCCATGTGGGGCAGTATAGTGGAGAGCAGTAGAGGCCAGCAGAGAGAACGGAAAGAGTAAAGATTTGTGAGGGCTAGGAGGCCTGCCAGCCTTCTGGACCCCCAGGCCCCCTGCCTGCCCTGTACCTGGTTGCTGCATAACATGTTGGCTTAGAAAGATCATTAGAAACCTGAAAAAGCCCCTGAGGGCGCCAGGACTCTCCTTTACCATCTGCCCCATCCATAGAGAACCTGCTCTGTGCCTTCCTAGCACATCAAATACGTATCTCAGTGTTTCTAACTGATCAACCAGTTTAGGCCAGTTAATCTTGGTGAGTAACCCAGTTGACAACTGTGACCATCTTTCTCCTACCAAGATTTTTGTTAATATGGCTTGAAATTGTGTTCCATTTTTAGCATCCACATTACACCTACTTCTAGAATGTAATCTTTAAGATTATTTCCCATGTTTCTCTTCACTCCTGAAAATAGTTCATTTTACGGAGTATTGCACTTTTTTTCTGAAATTTGAAATTTGTTTTCCTTATTTCATAATATATTAAGAGACCCTCCCCTATTAACATGAAAAATATAACTCATCTTCTTAACCAATATCCTGCATTCCATTGTCAGA